GTAGCCGATTGTGTACACAAGGCATTTAAAATGTAGGTTCGATAGTCTAGTTTTCCTTTATTTTAATTTGCGTGGCTGAAAGTTATTTTTTAGGTTTCAGGCGCCACCTCATTAGGCCAATGTTGACATTGAAAGCTGCTTTTCTGTAGTTTTTACCTAAGTCACCATTTTACTTTAAAACATGAATTTAAAGGAATAAAAGTTACGCACAAGTCGTACCAAATTTACAGAAATGAATAGTCAGCTTTACTCAGGTGAGCAATGGGGAACAACCGTCATCGGTACGGTTAATATTACACGAGGTGGAGGACATTTCGAAAAAGGTGTCTTCTACTTTGGATTACTTTTTTTTGGCATCACATGAAGAAGTTGCAGTAACGAAGATTGAGGTTAAAAACAAGCCCATATCCACATCAACTCAGGGCACTGCCCAAAAGGGGGCGGGAGTCGAACGCCCATTCGTTAATTAGAGGCTCACCCGCTTGCCGATCTCTTCTTTACGCTAATTTACTTGGGACTCAGTCATCAACGCCCTCTTTGAAGGAGTAATACAACTTCGTATGTCATCTCGCTTTTGCAATGCCAAGATCAAGGGGTGGAGGAAGGAGTTAATCTTTTTTTCAAACCTGATTTAAATGGTATCAGGCTACTTGGTGACATTAAAACTACGAGCATATTGTGCTGGAAAGCGGTAGTTTGATCCCTGTCGAAGCCACTTGCTCCTTCGTTAACCTTCCGTATGCCTGTGTAACTGCAAAAAATTAGATTGCCCATTCAACTCTCCCTTTTGACTTCCAGGGTGCTTAAGGCTCCGCCTTTTTACTTCCATTGAGCGACGTTGTCTTTAGTCGATCAGGTCATTTTTGCTTCGGTGATGTATTGCCTGATCTTTTAATGCATTATTTTCGTCCTCAGGCAAGGCTTGGTGCGGTCCATTGACCCTCTCCTTATTCAGGACTAATTGGTCACAGGCTGCTATTATTTTGTTCCTGTCATTCTTGGATTTTCTTTACCAGTTGATGAAATAGAAATTCGGCTAGTTAAATTTTGGATTATTTAACTTCAAAAATTTATCAATAGGTAAACAGAGAAGGAAAATTGCATTACACGCTCAAGGCACTCATTAGATGTGGTACAAACATAGATTCTTAGAATTGTCAGCCAACCGTCAGAAATGAGGCAAAATATGTAATTCTGAAGAAAAATTTGCCCTCTTTAAACGATTTGGCTGCCATTAAAGCCTACGTTTTGGACAATTAACTTGTTTCAGGGGCAAAGAGTCGCCTTAGGAAACTTAGCTCAAGATGTAAGCATGACATAAATTATCTCAAAATATTTCAGGACCATAGTCCCTTTCCATCAACCACCATCATGATGAGGTAGCGAGGTGAAAGAGGAAGTCCTTTTCCGTACGATTCAATGGCGTACATCCGCACGCGCATTCGCGTCCGCACACTGCCCGCCAATTGGTGGGAGGGGCTGGTCCAGAACACTATAAATAAGTGTGGCAATGAGAATCAACACCATTTGCTGCGACATGAGGGTGCTGGTACTGGCCAATCTTCTCTGTGTGGTGCTCTTAGCTTTGCTCGCTAGCGACATCGCCTCGATGACGGCGCGGCTGCCGAGGCACCGATTTCTTGCCGAGGACTCCGAGAACGGGGACTTCTTCGATGCCGAAGTGGGAGAGGATGACGACTATGGAGAGGTTCCAAGGCTGCGTCATCACGGCCGTAAGTGATTCTGCCTTTACTGCCCATCCAAGGTCTGCCGATTTTTTAATTCTCTGATGTTGTCTCTAAATCTCCCACTGTTCGTGAGCCAAGAAATTAGTTAAACACCAACAATAAATACGGGCTAGGTGTAGCTCAAGGGAGGCAATGCTCAGTAAAATGGTGGGGATGCATTATTGTGGTACAGAATTGGTCATGCAGTGAAAATTAGTAGTCTTCTGCTGGAATAGGTAGACTTGTAGAAATGAAACCACAGCGTAGGTACAGAGTAGGTGCTAAACCTATCATGAAATCAAGTTGTTCGACTGAGAGGATTCATTGCATGTATTAAATCATCCTCTTTGCCTTCTTCTGTTCTGAACCTGATTACGTTAGTACGCTTTTTGTGCTGATTCTAAAGGATCCCAAGTTAATGAAATCAAAGTTGGCTAACTGAAGTCCATTCCTTGGTATGTATTTTATCAATTAGTGGAAATGGAGAATGGGAGGTTTATTCCAATGGCGGAAGGTGTTAGAATGTCCCATCCCTAAAGCTACTAGGAGTTGGAAGCTCTTATTAAGGAAATCTTGGCCTCTATTCATGCTATCCAAACTCAAACCCATTTGGGGAGGGTTTGGCCGCACGGTTCTGCTTTTTGCGTGCTTGGAGTGACGAGCATCAGACGGCTTGTCAATTTCTTATCCCCATCAACTTTGAGGGAGGAAGAGGAAAGAAATGGGACAGGCAAACTTAGTTCCACGTGCACTGCGATACCTGCGGTCTGTTGGGGTCCGAGGATCAAAACACGGAAATGTCAAATTTGTAAACCTATTTGAGTTTCTCTTCTTACTCACAAGTATGTTGAGAGTGAGTGCAAACATTTGACAAATTGTCTTCGAAAACTGCGTTCCCAGAGTGATGCATTTACAGTGCAGTTGATTAGAAGTGTAAAAATGCAAATGAAGAAATAAATTGTTTCACATAGTCAAGCTATGTCGCATAGAAAACCACATATATCGCTCCTCGTTTCTGATTAGTAATTCACCAAGAAATTTCTTCTTTGACGCCGAAAATCGAGGAAGTACAAACGAGTAATTGGATTCCAGTTCTGGGCACACGTTCTCCCTACCACCCGCTCCTTCAAAAGCATTTATTTGAGGTGGACAGTTTTTGCCCGTGGCTCTCATCGTATCTACTTGTTCCGGTTGACAAGTTAAATGGCATACCAAAGAGAAGAAAAAGCACGAAGTACTCTTGAGGGATACAAAAAGAGTGGACGATTAAACATTTCACTTTGATTGACTGAAAAGTGGAATCACCACCTTTCTAAATACATCGTATTTCCCTCATGAAGGTTGCTTTTTATTCCGTCACTACTTAACGTAGTTATTGCCTTTCAAATTTTTTCCAAAATTCTGCACCCTGGAAACTGGGTGATTCGGACAGTTTCCTTATCAAATAAGACTGGTGTGCTCGAAAGGCTTCAAACGATAATGCGTGACAATTCAAGCAGTTAATGTTCCAAAGAATCGCTTTGTCACGAATCCTCCGAGAAAACATTCATTCACATTTTACTATTTTACAGGTTTTACCAAAAGGCAACTTCGTAATCTTGCCGGGTAACTCGAAGGTGAGTGTAACGAGCTTCAGAGTGAAGAATTCGCAATCGTATAAAAGTGACCAAAAGCTCTTCTGGTCACTTTAATGCGAATAAAGACGTGTTAACCGTTGCCACTTTTTTTGTCAATGCTGGATTACTAGTAGTTTTTTCTCCACCTGTTAACAGGCCTTGAAGTGTAGTGCTTCATTTACTCGCGTTATGTGTATCTTCTCTAACTGCTACATATTTTAGCGTAAAACAAGTGGAAACCTGGAGGACTCTCTGTCTCCACTGCCGAAAACTCATTCTACATTGATTTGCGTTTTGTTTCACCAGTTGGCACCATTTCTGTTTCCATCGTATCTCCTATAACGGACTTCTGCATTACGGTTAATGACTAATATTTTATAATGTTTAAATAAAAGAAAAATAAAGACCATAAGCCTCGTACTTTAACGCGTTAAGTCATTCGGTTTCGTCGTTAATTAGGAATGCTATTTGACATATTGAAATTAAGAATGAGGGCGGTAATAAAGCTGTAAGCACTAATGACTTTCCTTTTATGCACGTGAAGGGGATGCGTGGAAGGGCTTATTTGGCTCCCCAAACTTGGCACTTGCAATGTCACCAAGATTTCCTATTCACTGTAGAAGTGTTGAAGTGTCCCACCAACACAAATCAAAGTTGTACCCTCACAAAATCCCGGAAATGCTTTTATAGCACAGTAAACCACATTGCAAAGTTGTTAGTCTATTTTATGCTTACACGATAAAACTGTCGTTGGGGCTGTAATTTAAGGCAATGAGATTTGAAGTATTCGCATCCATTAGCTATTTGGAGAGGGACAAGACTTAGCAGGACGGTGTGAAAACACCAACATCACCGCCAACCACTGGGCGTCCAGGTGTTTCCTGATGCAATGGCGGTGCGACTTTGACTAGGGACGTACAGCGATTCGGGACTACTAAATGGGACACGCAATGAGGATAAACGCGCTCATGATCTCATCTTCCAGAGACTGGCTGTCCAACTAATAGTTACAAAGCATAGGGAGGTCATAAAATGGAAAGCAACTAATGGGGAGGAAATGGTCTTAAATCTCACCCATCATTGTGACTTTTTTAACAGACTATAGAGAATCATAGAGCAGATGCGAAAAATTCAGAAACCTTGCTACGCAAAACGTGGAATCAGACACACTATTTAGAGCACCATTTCAAGGCCATGAATGCACAGCCGCCAGAGTCGTTTTTGACGTTAATGCACATTGGTTAAGTGCTGCTTTTTTAACCAAAGCCATAGACAAGCAAAATTGGATCCCATCCGACTCGCCTTTATTTCCAAGCAAGCCTTGGGGTGAATCTTGGGGCAAAATAACGGCTTTTACATGGTAAACCACCGTCATCGCCATTAGAAGACTAATTCATATGGGGCGAAGCAACTGCCGAAAGAACTTAAAAGCTGACCAACTCCGATCTTAATAAACCATGTCCTACATTTTTCTGTAGGTCCTTTTTTAATTTTTTGCAATTCCGAAGAAATGGTGGGCAAAATGGATGATATCAACCCTAATAAATTGAGTTCCTAACTTTTAACCGTGGTAATTAAGCGGAGAGCAAGAGACAAATGGCAGTGCCAAAGTAAGTCCATATTACTGTGTAACTTTTGAGAAGGGATCTGAAAATCCTTCTCCTTACCATTTGTTTTGCCAATTAATGAGTATGCGAAAAACTGCCCAGATTTTTTTTTGCTTTAATAGACTTAATTTCTAGCCATTGCTAAGTAAAAGGAGACCTGCTACAAAGTCCCGCGACATACAGAGGTGCCTTTCTCCTCCAAACACTCGTACCTGAATTAGGCTCTGCAAGATAAACTCTACTGGATGTCTTTATAGCAATATAATATAATTTTGTACACAACGAAACAGAGTAGGTCCTTGTATGACCACTTTCATTGAGATTATGAAAAGTTTAACTTAAGGCTTAGGCTGTAGATCTCCAAGATTTCACTTGAGGAACGAAATTTCATGCCACTTGGGCAAAATACGTGGTAAGCCGTAGAATTGGTGGAACACTTTGGAATTTGGGTAAAGCGAATGCAAAATGCGAAACATCTAAGTGACTCGGCTTGCACGACTGTCGCGATCGGTTGCGGTCACTTGGAAGGCCAGGCAGGCTGGGGTTTAGACTATGCCTAATCTCAATCGCATTCCATCTCGCCTGCGAACATTTATTCAACCCAAGAATTATGCCTCCTCCTGGATCAGGGGATCACATCTAGAATTAAGTAAAGAAACAGCGAATTGCATGGACAATTAAGCGTTGCCTGTTGAAACCCAAAAATACAAGTGTCTTTATAGGTAATAAAGTTCTATTAACTTATATTTCTGTTTTATGCAGCTGTGGGAGATCCACTGTATTTCTTCCCAAACATAAGTTTAGCGCCAACCCCCTCGTTACTTGGCCTTCATGTTTGGCGGGTTATGGCATTGCTGCATTTAGCTTACCACTGATGGGTATTATGCTCATTTAAAATTACCAAATCAAGCGACGAATTTACTGTGTATCAACAAGCGTCACATCTTTAAGGGCGGTAGCGTGGAACTTAGTGACACTGACCACACCCTCTGCAACTAAACATTGCTGATAGCTCTTTTCTTTTTACGTGATTGGACAGGACAAGGGACAGTGGTTTGTAATTGCATTCCTACTGTATTAACTGTGTGCTAGTGTTAATGGTGTGCTTACAGTTTTACGCTTTTTTGACCTGTTGCACCTTCGTTCCGTGCTTATGAGATAATTCATGTAAGGAGCCGTTAGTAGGCGGTGCTCTGCTCAATTTACTTCTGTTTGAACCTAGTTGGACCTACTTATACTGCCTAGTAGGGTGACGTTTTACTTCTCAAAAACAGCTATTTTTAGTACTGCTACGGCGAGGCACCACAATCACACCATAACGCCACATCTACTTTGCAGTGGAAGAACTGGAGTCGCATTTGCTGTAGAAACTGGAGATTACCCAGCATATATTGGTGATACCTTGGTGATGTGACGACTTGTAGGACGGGCGATCGCTTCAACGTTATTCGTAATCTTGTATGCTCAGGTTGGCATTTGAACCAAGCCAAGGCCCATTCACTTCCTATTATCCTTGAATGTATGCGTTTAGTTCCACTTACTGCTTTTTCCATTCGGTGGGAAATCTTAAGACATTCCAATTTTCTTTTCTATCCTTGCTGTAGTTTTAAATGCGAAACTTTGAGGCTATATGATTGAGCTTTCTGTTTACCCACCCTCTAATTGGCAACTTAAATAATAGTATACAATTTTTAATCTGCAGAATATTGCACCACTGCTGCCATAGTTCAAGCACAGTAGCTTCCCTGAACAGTCGACACAGTATTAGGACAGAGATTGTAGTATTAAGTT